ACACACACACACACACACACACACACACGCACGCACATACACATACACATACACATGCACTTACAAAGATTCTAATCATGAGCCTCTCCTCTCCTCCCTCTCCTCTCCCCCCCCCACCCAACACTTTCTTTTCCCAGTGGGTGGTTGGCGGGTGCTCTGGTGTGGTTTGCTTCTTCTTTCCTATCCTACATCAATCGTCCTTATCTTCCCTCCTTCTTTTTTATGTTTGTTACTCTCTTATAACACCTCAATCTTCTGGTGCTCATATGACCTTATGCAGTTGCGAGCTCCGTAAAACCTCTACTAAAACTAAACACAAACACACACACACACACACACACACACATACACATACACTTACAAAGATTTTAATCATGAGCCTCTCCTCTCCTCCCTCCCCCCATCCCCTCCCCCCTCTCTCCTCAACATTTTCTTTTCCCAGATGTTCTACCTGCCAACAGCGAGACAACTCAAGCGCATGGAGAACGTTTCTAAGTCTCCCATCTACTCGCACTTTGGCGAGGCTGTGGGCGGGGCTTCCACCATCCGAGCTTTTGGCCACTCCCACCGCTTCCTTACCGAATCACAGGCCAAGATTGACAACAGCGTGTCACGGAGTCTGATGATGTACAGCTGTTCAAAGTAGGTCATGGATACTAATAATATAGTTGTTCAAAGTAGGTCATGGATACTAATAATATAGTTGTTCAAAGTAATAGTTGTTCCAAGTAGGTTACGGAGTCTTAAGATCTCATAATGTAGAGTTGTTCAAAGTAGGTCACTGGGTCTAACGATGTACAGTTGTTCAAAGTAGGTCACTCGGTCTAACGATGTACAGTTGTTCAAAGTAGGTCACGGATACAAATAATATACAGTTGTTCAAAGTGGGTCACGAGTTCAATTGTGTACAGTAGTTCAAAATATATCATGAAGTCTAATGATATGCAGTTGTGCAAAGTAGGTCACGGGGTCTTATGATGTACAGTTGTTCAAAGTAGGTCAGGGAGTCTAATGATGTATAGTTCCTCAAAATAGGTCGCGGAGCCTAAAAGGTGCAGTTGTTCAAAGTAGGTTACGGAGTCTTAAGATCTCATAATGTATAGTTATTCACAGTAGGTCACGGAGTCTTAAGATCTATAATGTATAGTTATTCAAAGTAGGTCACGGAGTCATAAGATTTCATCATGTATAGTTATTCAAAAAAGGTCACGGAGCCTAATGATCTATAGTTGTTCAAAGTAGGTCACGGATCCTAATGATCTATAGTTGTTCAAAGTAGGTCACGGAGCCTAATTATCTATAGTTGTTCAAAGTAGGTCACGGAGCCTAATTATCTATAGTTGTTCAAAGTAGGTCACCGAGCCTAATTATCTATAGTTGATCAAATAGGTGGTGGAATCTAATAGTGTATAGTTGTTCAAAGTAGGTCACGGATACTAATAATATACAGTTGTTCAAAGTAGGTCACGAGTTAAATTGTGTGCAGCTGTTCGAAGTAGGTCACGGAGCCTAATGATATACAGTTGTTCAAAGTAGGTCACGGGGTCTTATGATGTGCACCTGTTCAAAGAAGTCTAAAATGTGCAGTTGCTCAAAGTTGCACTTTAACTGTATACAAACACATGACATGCATATAATGATATGCATGAAATAATATATGAGAATGAAACTCATTAATTTTCTTAAGATTAAGATCAACAAATTCTTCTCATTAACGACGACATTAATTTTTTTACGATTAAAATCACGACATTCTTCTCATTAACGACGACATTAATTTTTTTACGATTAAAATCACGACATTCTTCTCATTAACGACGACATTAATTCACTAATTGGTTCTATCTATTCTTCCAGCTGGCTCTCCATTATGCTCGACCTGATCGGCACCCTGTTCGTCTTCTCGGCGGCCATCTTTGCTGTGACGTCAGACAGCACGGACGCCGCGTCCACCGGTCTCAGCATCACCTACTCCCTGCAGGTAACAATAATATGTGAGGCATCGTGCGGAAATCAGACTCACGTCAAAAAAATGAAATGAAAGCAGGTAATTCTTGTGTGTCGACGAGGTGAAATTAGGCGCTCGTCAAAATAATGAAATGAAAGTAATTGGCATTTCACCCCGCTCGTTTGGCAATTTAATTAATTCTTTCTTTTTTTTTTGTTATTATTTTTTTTTTTGCGGGAAGGGGGGGGTGTTTTT